GAGAGAGAGAGAGAGAGGGTGGCGGGCCTGCATGCATTTTTTTTCCACACCCCGCGTATTGATCCCGGAGTCATTCAAAATGGCGGCCGGGGCCGAGTCAGCCAATGACTGCCTGAATCGATGACTGCAGCGAGCCACCCCCGGACCGGCCAATGGGAGGCCAATGGAGGCCGTCGCACGGCGTTCTATGCGGGAACCACCACCCCGATATACGAGACACCGGCCTACCACCTTCCTAGTCCTCCTAGTACGTGCACATGCGTTTCCACGCGCGTGTGTGTGTGTGTGTGTTTCGTGTTCCGGGTTCGAGCTCGTCGATGACCCGGGACACGTCGATGATTTCCACGGAAAATTCCCCTTCCCGGTCGGTCGAGCTGCATCATTTCGAAGCCCCCTCCCCCCTAAAAAACCTTCCCAACTTTCCACCATCGTTCGCTCGCTCGATCCGCCCGGTTATTTCCGTCCAGACCGTTTCGCGATTAACGGCCTACCCCACCCTATTTTATTTCCACTCTCGCGAAATAACACAGCGATCGGAAACCCGGGCCCACTGGTTAAATCGAAAGAATCCCTCCCCTTCTCTTCTCTTCTCTTCTCTTCTCTCTCCCCTTCTATCGCCGAGTCATCGTCACCAGTCATCGTCGTTGCCGGGGATCGATTCATCGTCGTAGAAATTTTATTCTTTTATCATCGATGATTCGACACGATTCGCGAAACGATACGATTATCTATACCGTCTCTCCAACGAAGAAGAAGAAGATCTCGTTATCTTGGTCACCTTGATCCTGGTTCCCGTGTCCCCCTTATCTTATCTCCTAGTTCGTGCTCGATGATTCGCGAGAAAACCAACGTCGACCGTCGATCTCTCTCTCTCTCTCTCTCTCGTTTTCCTCTTCTTCTTTCTCTCCTTTTTTTCGATCGAAGATCGAAAGGGAATCGAAGAGGAAAGGGAAGAGGAAGGGGAGAGGGGGAGGAGAAGAGCGGAGATCGAGCGTTCGTCCGTGGATCGAAGCGCGCATCAATTTTCTGCCACGGCACTCGTTCCCGTACTTTGTGCATAACGCGGGGCAAAGAGAATGTCGAAATCGACTGCACGAGGCACGAGGCGCACGATTGCATCACGGTCTACGGAGCGTGCACCGCGCGCTGCATCGCATCTGTGTGTGCATATGTACTTAGATTGGCTTCTATTGACATAGCCACAGACGACGACAGTGGTGGTACAGTCGGGAAAAATGCGAGCGAGCGACGCGTTCCAACAGCCTCGTCGCGGCGAGCCTTGTTTCGTCCGACACTTTGATCCCCCGATTTTCCGCCACGATGAATCAATACAGAGGAAATCGAGCCGTTTCCCTCCTCCCTCCCTTCTTCGCTTCCGCGCGAAAAAAAATCGATCTTCGCGCGCAGATCGTCGCGACTCTTTCATCGCGGATCGACACACCGTTGTATCGTTCGTACACAAATTTCTCTTTTTTTTCTTTTTTTTCTTTTTCTTTTTTTTTTCATTACCATAAAATTCCATCGAGGCGCGTATCATCTATCCGTGTTGGAACGATTTTCGCCCGTGCCCGTGCACGCTCGATGCATCGATTTTCATTGGTCGATCATCATTGGTCGAATAGTGCAAACGACGAATTTCCACGAATTCGTCGGAATGAATTTCGACTCGCATCTAGACTCGTTTCTCTCTCCCTCTCTCCCTCTTTTCACTCGATCCTTGTTTCCTCGGGAAACAGGAAAGAAGAAGCAGGAGAAGGACGATCAGATATCGAGATACAAAATTATCCAATTTTTGTCCAGTTTTTTCTAAAACGAAACATTCGCGGCAAACGGATTGGATAGATAGGATTCGACGAAGGGCAGACGACGACGACGACGACGGTTATTACTGATATACTGAGCGAACGAGCGCACTTTCTGTCGCAGCTGTACTAAACTCACGATGGAATGGTTTTTCTAGCGCGGGCAGTTTTTCTATTAAGCTTCATTTGTTTCTTTCATTGCGTAATGCGCCGGACGCGTCGCTCATTTCATCCTACTGGCGAGCGAGGCACCACTCCTACCGTTAGAATTCTCGATCCGGATCGCAGTTGTTTCGATAACGCACGGCGATCTTCGCGCGTATCTTCTCCCCCTCGTCTCTCCCCGCGTTCATCGAGGAGAGACGATCGTCCGTTCTTTTCTTCTCGTCTTCATCGCCCTCTGCGCGAAACGATCCCCTTCGTCCTTTCCCCCCCCCCAAAAAGTTGGAAAGTTGGCCACGAATATATATACACGCACAATAATCTCAATCTCAATATCAATATCATCCTCGTTCGATCAGAAGAGAATCGCGCGCGCCTTCTTTCATGCTCTCGTCCATGCGACCGATCGATAATCTCGCGCGCGCGATACGGGAGAGAGAGAGAGAGAGAGAGAGAAGAGTTACGTTTAGCACGGACAGAAACCAGGCTAAGAACGAGTCACCCTTTTCCGTTATTCGTTCGACCCTTGTTCCTTGCCTCGCCACCAGGCGTCACTTCGTCACGGGGTGGATGGATCCCCCTTTCTCTTCCCCTCGAGGGGATCGGCCTACGAGGAGGGAAAAAAATATTTCCACGCGCGGTATCTCGACCGCGGTATTTACGAAAAAACGAGAGAAAGAACTCTTGGGACGAGAGAGAGAGAGAGAGTATCGTAGCGTGCCATCCTCTTTCGACGAGGAGGAGGAGGAGGAGGAATCGTAGAACCCCGTGCAGGCGAAATTCTATGCGCGCTCAGCGGGAAGGCGAGGAAGGTACGATCTCTGTATACGACAAAACTCCGTATACAGCGGAGAAGGAGGAGGAGGTTGAAGCGAGAATATCGGAGAAAACGCGAGGTTCGTGGGATTCACCGAGCGGGATTTCGAGTAGTCGGCCCATGTTTTGGCCGACGAGAAGGCGGAGGACAATCGAAAGAAAGAAAGAAAGAAAGAAAGAAAGAAGGGAAGATCAGGGCCGGAAGACAAATGTCTTCCTACGCGTAGTCGGCCGCCGTTCTATCAGGGGAGTCGATCGAGTCGATTCAACGAGAGAAAAAAGCGGGCGAGAGAAGGAGACGAGAGAGAG